ACTGCAGTTAGAAGTCATGGGGCAAAAGTCCTCACAATGGGATTAGTGCATTTATGAAAAGGACATCTGAAATGCCTACCTCCACACTATGCTGTTTTGCACAGCTGCCCACCATTCTATCCCTTTCAATGGCATCCTAATAAACATTTGCTTTCTCCTACTCTCTGTCCTGGTAAATTCTTTTACCAATCCATGGCTCCCCAAAATCCATGATATAAAATGGTGGTCCTAAGGGGATGAATGTGGGGAGCCCTGTACCCAATACAGGAATTTGGACAATGTCTTTCTTTTCATATCAGGTCCTCTGGTAGTACTGCTCTGGGGCCTGGACACAGCTGTAGGCGTCTGGCCAGGGTGGCTCCGTGGTGCGATCCAAAGGTCACCTCTTCCTGAGCATCTGCAACTCATCACCCTTAGGCGTAAAGGACTTGACTTATACAGACTCTGGAACCACCTACTTTCCCAGAAATTTGTGGGTCTCTGGCCAGGGCAACTCCCTCATGAAACAAAAAAACAAACAAACAAACAGACAAACCTGAGAAAAAGGGCATATTTGTCTTCCTCCACGAGAGTGAAGAGCCATTTTTTTTTCAAGTCCCCACATCCAATGCAAGGTACAACTGGAGTGGAAGTTCACTGGGTGAATCCCTGTATGCTGTAGGGGACTCTACCCCAATCCTCACACTTTTGCATTCAAATCTCTCATCAACTCCTCAGATGGCACCATTTCTGCCCTGTGGAAGAGTTTCAGTGCCAGCGGTGAGCCTCACCTTGTCCCTTATGCTTCCTCTTCTCTGGTCAGGACTGCACATCCCTGAGAACAGCACTCTGAGGCATCCACTCACCCTGGAGAATCATACCCCGACTTTTGAGTCCCTCTGACTTGGTGTGATACCCCAGCAGAGTAACACCCCAACTTGTTCCCCTGCAGACATTTTGGGCCCCTTCTCCTCTTGGTGGGACACCCCAAAAAGCTTAGAGCACAGGAAAACTCCTCTGCACATTGATTCTTTCAGACTCACTCCTAGGTTGCATTCTCCAGTACTGGGACAAAGTTGATTCTCAAACACGAGGGAAAAAATTTTTTTAAATGCTTGATTTTTCTTGGTAATGTGGCATGGCCAATTTATAAACTGCCCAATCAATATGACAGGCAGCTCTCCTCTTTCACCTTGCCACTCTGCACAGTCCCCTGGTCTTTCTTTCTCCTCCTGGCATTGTCTGTCTTCTCTCTACCTTATAGGACTAGTCTGCCTGTCACTGTGTGTCAAAAAAGTGTTTCATGATCTGTTTTTATAGAGACCTTCTCCACATTTAAAACTCCAATAGGTCCAATGGATGGACTCTCTGATATGTTTCCTGAGGAACTAAATCCTCTCCTTATTTTCTTTTCTCTGGAAACCTCCTAGGCAGATTTTGCAGTCCATCTTCTGGCCACAGAAAAGCATTTTACTCTCCTCAGACTTTTTCTTTCCTTTTTGTGCTGCTGGTTAAATTCCAGGCAGATTCATAAGTCTTCCATTTATTTGTCTTGTCTTGTCCCCCAGGCTATCATAAATTAATACAAGCCTCTCAAATTTGGGGGGACCCCTTAAGTTGATTTCATCCCCTTTGGCCTCTAAGGGCCCAAAAAAAGAAACTTTCCTGCTTGTTCTGTGTTTGGTGTTTGTTTTGTGTTTGTATGCTGTATGCAGCATGGCTTTATGTTCCATCTGAAAGCCCTTTGGAAAAACTGTGGTGGCAGGAAGTGCTACCACCATGAGGGGGCCACAGAGCCTCCTCCAGTAGCCCAATTCCATAGCAGCCATCTCCACCATGAGGCTAGGATGGTGTAGGCAGAAGTTCTACACAATCTTGTTACCCCTAGGGAGAATTATATCTAACCTATGGCTAAAAGGTCTAATATAATTGTGTTTATGTATTTTATTTGTACATTATTCTATCAAGCATTGGGTAAAAACTTTTGTCCCTAGAATTCCAGAAAATAACTGGCTAATTATTGCAGCCAGTTGTAAGTTTTTTTTTTCATTTTTATGTGTGCTTCAGTCTTGGCATGCCTAATTTAAAACTTTCTGAGTATATGTATGTGTGTATAAAAATCTGTAGAATGGGTCTTAAACTGTTAGTACAAAGCTAATATGTAGTAACTACTGTCACTTTAAAAAACTGCTTATCTTATTTCAGTCAGGTCTATCTAAAATGCAGGCACTCAGGTGTAGACTGAAGAAAAAATGTTGACCATTTTAAAACTCAAGCAGCTGTTTTGGCTGCTGAATTGGGGACTTATAAAATGGGACCTTAAAGTGTGGTTATTTATTTAATTTTTTAAAAAATTTATCTAAGTTCAAATTTTTATAAAAATTATTTCAAAATACAAATTTAAAATCAGCAAAGAAGTCTGTCAATTGCTAAATTGTTTTTCAATATTTGAATCATAGCTATTCTAAGTCTTTTGCCATTACAGTTTTGACCCTTCTGCAACATTTACAATCAAACCCTTGAAAAACGACTAGCAAGTGCTCATTTGTCAAACAAACCAGCTTTTAAAATATATCTGTTGGGTTCTTTTCCTTTTGTTTTGTATTTTCCTTATAAAATGTTGTGCCTGTTGTCTATTGTCATTCTATAGAAGCAAAGCTTCTAACAATAACAACTAACATTCTTTTTTAAATATAGAATGTCATCTATAAAATAGACAAAATTAAACTTAATGGACTCCAGGTAAGCCCAGCCTAAGAGCTATTTTTTCTAAACCTCTTTGTTGCTTAAATTTGACCAAAAAAGGATCTTACTGGCACTTGACTTCCACCCCAGGTCCATCACTTCCTCTCCTATGTGGGATCAGATCAGACCAACTAGGACATCTGATCCCAGCAACAAGGAAAGACCTACTGAGACACAGCTTTTTCAGCAATTATGGACCCTTCTGAGACAGTTCAGAGAGAACTGTCGAGACAAGAGGGGAAGTTCTCAGATTTCAAATGGAGTCACTTTACTAGACACTTGTACAACCAACTAAAGTAAAGAGGTTATAGACATGGTTACTTAATTCTAAAACCTATGCTTGTCTTTCAACTGGATAAAAACTAGACTTTCTATTCCCATATCTTCAGGTAAAATCCAGATGTTCTTCCCTATGGATGGAAATTTATAATTTCTTAAAAACAGGAACTATCTAACTTATACTCTACTAATAAGCTTCAAAATTACACCAAAAGACAGGAATGAGAGAAATTCTTTCTTCCTCCTTAATCTACAAAATCCTGTCACTTAAAATAACCAATGATGTAGATATCCTACCCAAACCCTCACTGATGTATAAAAACAAATTAACACTTTAAGAGGCAGTAGTTTGTTACAAAACAAAAGGGCTTTAGATATGCTCACTGCTACCCAAAGGAAAACCTCTGCCATGCTAGGGGAAGGCTGTTGCTTTGGGTTAAAAGATTAGGACAAATACAAACTAATGTCATAAACTAACCCACCAAGCCCCTCAATTTAGAGTGAGCCACCCAAGGATGGCTCTCATGGGAAAACACCTAGTCATGGTTACCCTGTCTTCTCTCCTTAGGGCCTCTACTATCTGTTTTAGTCCTTTTCTTGCATTAGTTCTTGCTTTATTAATGTTCTAACCACACTTGTTTTTTCTAGCCTTCAGACCACAGAGTTACAAATGATGCTACAATGTGGGTGACATTACCTACTGCCTGATCCTCCAGTGCCTATTAGTCCCCTAGACCAGGCTTTCATACAATTTTATTCAGGTATTTAATTAGATCCTGCCATGCCCCCATGATTTGCTCCATAATCCTGTTAAATCAACAACTATGTAGGCAGGGACATCTCTACAACCCTACCCAGTTTAAAGCAATTACAAGAAGATGAGACCTCCGCCACACTAAAACCAGGATTGGTTTTGTTGTTCTGTCAGAAGGGAATGTAGAAGAAAATCCTTCACTTTCAGAGACATGGTGGGAACAAAATACTAAGACCCAGGCAGAATGAGGAAGGAGGGGCTGAATTCAGGAGATGTTCTTGAAGGCACAAATTCAAATTGTAATCCAATGAAGAGACAACCAATCAGAACGGCCCATAAAACAGGAGATAAGTCAACAAAAGAGGCTAACCCTAGATATAACATCCATTCTCAACCCGGTCTTGGTGCACTATACTCCTTTAAGTAGCTGCCCACCATTCTATCCCCTTTCAATGGTGTCCTAATAAATCTTTGTTTTCTACTCTGTCTCAGTTAATTCTTTTACTAACTGACAGCTCCTCAAAATCTGTGACAGACATGACCAGGTATATCCCCCCAGCTCAGAAAGTCTAAGACTATAGATATGAACCATTATTTTGAGTCTTTACTCCCATTTTCCTGCACAGGGAACAGAAAATGTTTCTCCCTTCCCACCCCCACTTCTTCCTACTTTATCCTGTTATACTAAAATAAATCCTTGCTAAAACTTCAGAAAAAAAGAAAGGAAAGAAAAGAAAAAGAAAGTCTGCCTCCAACCCTGCCAATGGGAGAACACAGCAAGAAGATTGCCAACTATAAGCTAGGTCTAAAAGAGCCTCTATCAGAATATGGCCAGGATTACAAAATGATCTTAAACGACCAGCGTTCTGAACTTTGGGGAAAGGAATTTTTGTTGTTTAAATCAACTATGATTGTATGGTATTTTGTTAATTAATACAGGTGGTCTACTTGTACTTTCAGTGTTTAAATGTATGAGGAAAAGCATTGTAAATTTTTATTTTGCAAAGTTCATCAGGCCTGTGCAAATTCACGATGTGGGCAGTTTTCAAAAACTGCAGAATATGTCAAAATAAGCCACGGTCAGACAGACATTACACTCCAGCCTACAACGTAATTTCTTTTTAAAAGCACAATCTTAAGGTTACCTACTTTTCAAAAAGCTACTTTAGGCAGTTTTAGTTGAGTCATGGTCAGAATGACATTATACTCACGTCTACAATGTAAGTCACAACTTGATTCTTACCTTTTGTATCTGCCTGAAACTGTTCTAGATGATTCCTGTAAAGTAAAAATAATTATAAATCAGTTTGAATATGTATGTGTGTAAGTATACAGCTACTAATAATTTTTAAAAGTTGATAAAGAATATCTAATTTTAAAAGAACCAGTTTAGAACAATCACTATTACACTTCTTAAAAAAATCACATTGCTGATAAAATGAAGACTGTACTTTTGAGCCCAAACCAATCACTTAAAAACCTTTTTTTAACATGGAAGTATTTTAAAAGCTCAGAAGTAGATAGGGGGGCATTATTCAGTCAGCCCTCATTTTTTATGCCAACATTTCTGTCTCAAAACATACATATAGCAACTGATGATTACTTTTAAAGCCTAGCTAAAAATGGAAAGTAAGAAAACACATTTCATTCTGAATATGCTAAGCTACAAAAAAGAAAAAAAAATTGCCAAAAGTTAATATTAATCATTGAGGGGGATAATTACCTTACAATTACCCAGGCAGTCATTTTGTTAGTTTGGGCTCTCCAATTTTTCACTTATATGTCTTAGTTTTTAAGTAAAATATAAGTTCTGGAAGATAGGAAACCCCTCCCAACTCCAGCTTTGATTTCTTTTTTTCTTCCCAAAAACCTAGGGAAATAACTTCCTTAGTAATCTACAATCACCAAAAAAAAAAAAGCACCAGTTGGGAAGTTACCAGATGATAGGATGCCAGGGTGTATGTTGGTGGGCTTCCCACAGAATTACCTCTGGGGAAGCCATGCTGTGATAGCTGATACAAATATGCTTTAATTCTCCCTGGGCACTCAGGTTGTCTTACGGCAGGGAGACAAAAACAAAAACCCTAGCAAGTGAACACATAGAGCACCTTATCTATCATTAAAAAGGTATCCCCTAAAGGTGAAAAGGCAGATGAACCTTTCTACTCTGTGTAGTAAATATGTGAAACAGATTCCCTATTTATAAAAACATTGTCTCTCTAGTGAATAACATCAAAGAATATATTTTATAAATTCCAGTTTTAAAATTATTTTTGAATACTTAACAGCTAAAGTTTTTAATCACTGGTTATATTTAGATAAAGCAGAAAGAAATACTAAGCTCATATGCATCCACTCAAGTACACTTTATTGAACATGGATGATGATTTCATAGGGAATTTTCTTCCCCTAGGGTTTCATAAGCACTCTTTCAACTAACATTTTATAAAGATTCTTTATTTAAAATATTACTTTCTAAAATTATCCTATATGAACTAAAATTAAGTATACACCTTAAATGATGACCATCTAAATGAGCATGAGAAAAATGCTAATGATACCAGAATCTACAAAACATCACATCTCTCATTCTGATTATATTTGAAATACATCATCTTGACTGCACAGACAACTCTCACTGAAATGAAGTAAGCAAAACTGATTGTTCTCTCTAAATGAGAGCAGCCCATACTGGATTTACTGATTTGTGGGTTCCTGCTATATCTGCTAAGATGGTATGAACTAGCAAAAAAGAGTATTTCTGAGGCTTGAAACAGGTATTTTCCATATGATGGTATAACTTTTATTAATGTAACTATAAAGCAGAGTCTGAACAAATACAGAAATGTGAAATGTAGGGCAGCAACACTAAGAGTGGCATTACACTTATTTTACACTTTGACACAATTATAAATGACTTAAACTCAGTAACAGACAAGCATCCAGTAAGTTATACTACCAAAAAGTCATGTAATAATAAGAATGTCACATTTAACAGGCTATTGAAAAAAAAGTAGTCACTTAAAACACTGCTTGTTGAGATGAAGTCTGGCTACATTGCCCAGGCTAGCCTTAAATTTGAGATCCTCCTGCCTCAGCCTCCCAAGTGCTGGGATGAGAGATGTGCCTTGCTATGCTCTGTTCATAAAAGTTTTGCCCAGAATTTCCTATACAGCAAGCTTGGTGGACTGATAAAATTATAACTTTGACATACCTAGTCAAATCACTCCATTCATATATCCAAGACATGTAACCAATTAGAAGTTAAGTTATACTTACTGTTATATAACTAATACTTAATAGTTAAGATTATGAATCTCAGCTGGGTGCTAGTGACTCACGCCTATAATCCCAGCTACTGGGGAGGCTGAGATCAGAAGGATCTCTGGCCAACTGGGGCAAATAGTTCTCGAGATCCTACCTCAAAAATACTCAGCATAAAAAGGGCTGGCAGAGTGGCTCAAGTAGTAAAGCAACTGCCTAGCAAGCATGAGGTCCTGATTTGAAGCCCCAGTTGTGAAAAAACAAAAACAAAAAGAAAAAGATAATAAACCACACAGGTGACACTTACTCTTTATTGGTCAATCCGAAATGGTCTCTTACTAGAGACTACACATGTTGTAGCTGAGTCTTATTTAATAGTGATTCTAGAAATTAAGCTCACACCTGAGCAATGGAATCTTCCCCAAATTGGACAGTATCAGATTACTAGAGATGCAGGTGGTAGGGAACAGTATGCTTCTCAAATATATGTAAAATTTATAAGTGACTTTTAAAAGTTACCTCTAAAAAAAAAAAGAAAAGAAAAGAAAGAAAAAATGGGTATATACTGAATTATAAATGTTAGACAGAATAAACAAAACCAGGACTGGACTACCTGCCTCACAAGCATGAAGCTGATCTCAAACCCCAGCACCATAAGAAGAAAGTATAAAATCAATACTTATAGGCAGCAAAGGAGTGTCTCATAATTTAAGCAGAATGCTAAACATTCCTACATTAGAATAAAATCTACACAAATATAAATTTTGTCTTAGATTTGTTAACTAGAAACCTCTTCATTCCTGTGGCCACAGATTTTCCAAGCAAAGGAGCTTAACTATATAATTACTAGAAACTCATATAAGTAATTATTGTTAAAGGCAATAATTCCATGCTAATGTGAAATAATCTTCCTGGGCTGTATTTGTCTCATCTTATTTTGCACATGCTTTTCTATCTGTTTATACGTTACAAGTTCTGATCTGCCACTGCACCTGTAAAGACTGTGTTCACGGGATTTCCTTATTGACTATTCTAAGCTTGAATGAGCCAGATTGTTTTATTTAAACTCAATAAAACAGTTTTGTGCTTTGCCAATATTTTCTCAGCTCTACATAGGTGTTTCCCCTTTCCTTTAGCAATATAAACTATCCGATTACAAAGAAGATTATTTCAGGGAAAGCGTATTTGAAATCTGTTGTGTAACAGACTTTGGAGCTTTTAAAAGATGTAATTACATAGTCTTTGAAACTTTTAAGACCAGTATCATTCTTAGCAATTGTACGTTTTACAAGCCCTTTCAGTAGAGTGGTATTTCTCCATTTTTTTCCTCATTTTAGTTTCCCATAAGTAAACATGAAATAATCCAAATTGTTGGGCATAACACCAAATAACTCATCTATAATCTTTAAAAGTGTTAAGATTTTTAAAAATTAAGGAACCACTACAGAATTCCTTCAGACTGAAGGATACTAACAAGTCACAGGCAACTAAATACAATTATGTGATTTCTGAATTAGATACTTTTGCTATAAATTAGGACACAACTGGGACAACTGGTGAAACTTGAAAGAGTTCTAAATATTAGAAGTTGACAATAAGGTGTCAACTTTAATCTCCTATTTTTAAGAGCTGTGTTGTGGTTACGTAGGAGACTATTTCTGGAAAATCTAGTACAGTATTAGCAAAAACAGGGGATTACATTAGTAACTTACTATCAAACAATTTAGGAGGAAAAAAGTTTTCCTTATAGTCCTTGTAACTTTTCAGTAAACTGAGAATGTTGCAAAATGAAAAATAATAATGTCCTCTTACAAATAGGTTTACACAAACTGTAATACAATTTCTATAGGTAACTTAGGTAGCATGTATCATTTTTTTTTTAATTCTTAAAATGTTTTGTTTCTTTATATTTTGGAGGGGATGACAGTAAGTTTCTCTCTGGAAATCCAACACAAGAAAATAATTCAAAACACAAAAAGGTTTAATCTATATGTCAATTCAAGTAGTAAAACAAAAAAATTAACTACAATGTTATCATTAATGTGAAATTTGAGTTAACTATTACACAAATTTTGAAAACATTTTTATGCTACTGAAAAATATTAAGAGTTTCAAACAACAAAAAACTTCTCATACTATACAAGGAACATTTTACAGGTATCAGAATTACAAATGCAGATTTCTCTTCTCCAAGTAATTCTGGTGCTAGGGTTCTGAGATTTACACAATCACAAGCAAAATAATATTATGTACAGTTTTTCCCCACTGCACTGTTCCTAACAGCAAAAAAAATTATGAACCTTAATGATCAAGTATAGTTAAAATTATAGTACATCTACACAGTGAAATTTTCTGTATTTGTGAAAAGTATGGAAGATCTTTATGTGTATTGCAAAATATCTGTCTACAATATTAAGTGAAAGGGCTAGACGCAAAACAGCATGTTTAAAATACTGTTTGAGCAAAGGCAGGTAAAAGTGTATTAGCCATATGCCACTGTGAGAAAATACGTGACATAAACAACTTAAAAGAAGGAAGGATTTATTTTGCCTCATGGTTTCAGTCTATGTTTATTTGGTTCCATTGCTATGGGCCTGGATGAGGCAGAATATCATGGCAGAGAACCTAGTGGAGCAGAGCCGCTCAACTCATGATGAAGGCAGGAAGGAGCGGGGGAGGAGAGAGAGAGAGAGAGAGAGAAGAAAATAGACAAAAACTCCCTTTCCAAGGTACTATCCCAGCGGCCTACTTCCTCCAACAAGGTCTTACCCCCTAGTTTCTGCCATCTCCCAATAACACTGTCAAATTATGAATCTATCAATGGATAAATCCTTTGATGAGGTGGGAGCTCTAATAATCCAGTCACTTCTAAACACTGCTGTGGGAGCCTTTTGGAGGAACACTTCATATCCAAACCATAATCAAAAGAAATATTTGTAGACATGGCTGAAATTTAATTCTTAAATTTTAATTCTTTTAATTCTTAAAGAACATAAAAGAAAGCCTTAGTTGCTTCCAGAGAAGGCAAACAGGAAACTGAAGACTTTTATTATACACCCTTTTATGTTTTTGCATTTTGTACCCCAGAATTGTATGTCTTTTTTTAAAACTAAAAGTTTAAAATTTAATAAGCAATTTTATTATTTTCCAAATGTCACTGAATCAGAAAATTAATTTTTACTAGAAAAGCTGGCATGATTACCTAAAAATTTAAATATGTTCAAAATGATAGCTAAAAATGTGAGCAAATTCTTTGAGTTCTCATTTTCTATTATCACTATTCTATACGATCTGCAAATATAAAATCAGAAACTTACAATATCCCAAACTGTCATAAGGCATACTGTTATGCCAAATCATATTCCCATTTTGTCCTTTAATTTTAGAGATCTATTTCACCGAACAGCTCAGATTCACAGATAATGCTAAGAAACATTGTCTTTCTCTTCGTCCTATTCAAAAAAGCTTTAGAAGAACCAATAAAGCCAGTATTTTTCTTACTCTCACATACACTCTCTCTATTATTTTGGAGTTAACAAATATCTATCCTTTATGAGTAACAGAGTATGTGAGTTTAGATAGTAACTCAGAGAAAGGTCAGCTATGCAGACCAAGCACTTCCTGTTCCCACTCCAACTTTGATGAGGCAATTAGGGAGGCCCCTGGGAGAGTCTTAGCCTCATGTCATGCTAAGCAAATAGCCAGGCAAAACAGATAACTTGAAGCCAAGATCACCAATGACTGACCAATTACTAATCCTAATACTAACAAAACAAACAAACAAACAAACAAAAATCAGAAAAATGAAGAGAAGGCCTGGGAAGAGATCAGAAAAGCTACAGGAAAGAAGCCAAACCGATGAGGCAGAAACTCTTCAGAGCCCAGATCAGATGAGTTCGGAGAATTCCACATCTGTGTATGTATTTGGAAATAACATTAGATTGTGAGTGGGTAAAGCCTTCTTTCTACAGAAAGAAATCAGCCCTCTTTCTAGAGTCACTGCAAACATTATTTGAGGATGCCACCGTTTGAGTATGCCAGAATAAGTACAATGGCCAAGAACTGAAACCAGGTTTCCAGTCTTAATTAAAATGCAATATTGTCTCTTTCAATAAATTAAGCCTTCATCTTGTGGGAAGTCTTCATTGAAATAGACACAGATTTAATTTTGACTTTGCTAGAGAAAAGATAAAAGATGTTTTATATTATTGTAAGTCACAGTTGAGAGAAATATCTGTTGTTAGCTTATACCACATTATAATATGTTACAACTTTTCCTAGAGCTGTGATAATCTTCTATCGTAGCAGCAACTTGGAGGGATGGGAGTGGGGAACCAATGGACCTAACATTTTTGTGTGGCTATTTATGCCAATATACTCTGCTTCTAAGAGAAGAGGAGAAAGAAATAATCATTCTGTGCTTGACAGACCATGGATCAGTCAGTTGTTATTAATGGTCTGGGTTTTCTTACAGACCTCATGTGGTACTTCTGGATTTCCCTTGTCCACTCTGTACATTCCATCTTTTTCTTATGGGGAAACTACAGTTTTTTAAAAATGGTACACAGAGATTGTTACATGCTCTTAGGTAATAAAAAGTTGTCATCAGTTTGTATATATGTAAAGTTTATCATAGAATACAGTCTCACATGATTTCTTCCCTCCCTTCCTGACAATGGTTTACTATGGTTGAAGATGATTTTCAACCCTTAAGCTAAAGTCATTCTCAGTTCTCACCAGAATTGTTACTTTCATCTTTTGCTTATCATTATTTCTGGCTAATATTTGGACTATTGACATTGAATGTAGAAAAAGAGACCTGAGTGGAACAATAAAATCTGGAGTTGGAGTTGGATTGTGACATGTATTTGTTGGTATAGCCCCTTATGGTCCCATGTTAGAATTCACAAATTGTCTTAACTTGCATGACAACTGGAAGGTGGAAGTGAAGAAGGCATTTGTTAGGTTTCCAAGTCACTGAGCAGGGAGACAGAAGCACATGGGCTATGCAGATACCTGCTTCCCAGCCCACTGTCTCGAGTCTTCTCTTCACAATGGAGACAGTCCACAAAACAACTTGTCCATTCTTATATCAGAAGCACTGGTTTCTATCTATTTCTCCATCAGCTCCCCATGAAATAACCATCCTCAACTGGTATTTTCTCACAAACCCCAACATGTCTGCCAGGTAGCCATTTCAGGCTGTCATAGTTGGGACTTCCCTTTTATATAGACTGAATTTAAATAAGGTCCAATTTGTATTGTGAATACTTTATTGAAGTTTTCAACAACTACTGGACTAAAAAAAAAAAGTTCTGATCTACATTTCCTAATTGCTTCAAATATCTTGTTTCTGTCTGCCAAATACCTTCAAAACCTATAAAATTAATAGATAAGGTTATATAGTTCATCTTTTTAAGTAAATAAAATGCAGATGTGTATACTCCTCTGAAATTCATTTTAAAATGATAGCATAATAAAACACATTTAGGAAATCAAGAATGGAATTCTGCAAAGACATAGTGAGCTATGCTTCAAAAATAATTTTAAAATTATCAAGAATATTCATAAAATGTAGTTTACATTAAATGATTCTGGAGCAGAGGACATAGCTCAGTGGTAGAGCATGTGCTTAGCATAAAAAAAGAGTTTGTAGAGTGCTTTGCTGTATGCTCAGAATAAGCTAATTTGAAACTGAATTAAGTTATATATTTTGTAACTATACAGTACTATATATGTTTTGGCAATTCACAATATTATTGTTTATTAGATTTAAACATTTGACTTTAGAGAAACTTTCTGCTCAACTTCTTTCGTGCTATGTAATTTTAATTCAAAAATCTGCCTAGATTAGAACTGATCAGTTTAACAAGCTAATTTTTACTTTTTCACAGTGACAGGGAATTATTTTTTTTGGTTAATTTTATAGTTGATGTTGGTAAATATTTGATGACTGCTCAGTCATCAAATATTCCTTGTTCAGAAATTAAGAGCCCAACTTAAGTCAACAAGTATTTGGATGGAAGGAAAAGTAATAGTTAAATCCATAGGAAATACTTAAAAGAAGCTGATGCTACCAAAATGAAAGTAGAAAAATTATTAACACCAACTTAAAAATTGTTACTAGCTACTGGCTTCCTGGTGGTTTTCTATACTCACTTGTGGCAGAAAGGAGCTGCCTGGATCTAGTAGGCTCCCAGCCTCATTCTGCAAGGTGTTCTGTTGTGTAATTGCATCTTCCCGCTTCCGCTCTTTCTGCCCTGCTTCATCATCTTCATATTCATCTAAGCACTGAAAGAAAGAAGAGTTTTCATTTCATTTCTACATACAGATAACAAAATGTTTTGACAGCAGATGAAAATATATTTGATGGCATTAAGGAAATCTTTTGTGCATTCAGAAATTAGTTTACACAATAAAAATGTCCCTTTAAGAATATGTTCATTTAATTCCTGCAACAAATTCTCTGCTTAAAACCAGTAGCTCCACGTTCACACTCTTGGCAAGATACCTTTCTTTAAGGTCTAATTACCAGGGACAAGGTTTCTTAAAGGGATATTTCAATCATTCGTTACTATTCATTCAAGAAATAAAACCACTATGTCTACTTTCAACAAGGCACTTTGCAGAGGATAATAAAAAATATGGTATAAACATGGAACTTATAGTTTAGTAAAAAAGATACTATATATATGTAGAAGCTCACTTATTGATCAAGGTCATTCTCTAGCTTAGTACTTACCTGTGAGAACATAAAAGAAGAACATTTTCACTGGAGGAGTTAGGAAAGACTAGAAAAGCTGGTAATTTAAAGGACAGGTATAATTTGGAACTACAGATACGGGAAAAAAAAAGAGAATTTCAGATGATAACAACAGCATACTTAAAAAGCTTACAAGAGAGCTGCTAAAAAGTTGAATCAATCTCCAGACTTTCTACATGTAAAAACAAAACAGAAACAAATCTTTCTATCCATTATACTCATTATAGGACATGTTATATGCTCCTTACAACACATTTCTAACCAATACACTGACATGAAAGGTCCAGTGGGAGACTTAAAATAAAAAGGTCTCACAGGCATTGTTTACAAAGATACTAAGACACTGGCCAAAATACATTATGGTAACAAAGACAACAGGGTTTTCAAACTGTGCCTAAGAGAATAAAACAGAAGAAACCACTGTGCAAACCAAGGGTCACTGTAGTATCTGGAGAGGAAGGACATAGTACAGGGGGTGCTAGTTTGATAAGGAGCAATTCAAAGACAAGGTCTACAACAAGGGATATGGAAGAAAGCATCTGTCTGGATGGAGTCTTACATGAAGGTGATGTGGAGAGAAGGTTGGGGACAAAATGGAAGAGCAAACAAAAGGAACAAGCAAGTATTTGGATGGAAGGAAAAGTAATAGTTAAATCCATAGGAATTTGAAATGCTCAGGGTCTTCCTGTGAAATGCAATAGATGCTTATACAGGAATAATTTGACCCTATTTCATTATACCCACCTGTGAAAATTGGAACCTAGAAAAGCAGTATAAGAAAAATTATGATACTGTGGCTACTATTACTGTATGAGTTTAAACAGTTCTTGACTCTAACCCAGAAGAGGAGAGGCTTCTGCCAGAATCTACAGAGTAACAGATTGGCTTGCAGCATGGGAAGATCTCAGAGCCTCAGAGTTCTTGAGAAGATGATTGTATGACATGTATTCTGAGCTCCAAGAAACATGAATAAAAAATAACCTGAGAAGTTTAGATGTTTCCTCATACAGCGCAGATGGATGTTACAGTGCTACAATTCCTTGGAATAGAAGTACAACATAATCAAATTGGTTTTGGAAAAAGAACCTTGGTATAGCACCTGGGATTACAGATTAACAGGAACAGAACCAAAAGTAGGAAGACTAGTTAAACAACATGGCAAATGATCCTATGAAAAATTACAAATTCTATGTCAAAAACCATAATCATAGTTTGTTAATCAATCCTGGTTAGAAAAAGAATCCTAGGATTTTTTTTAAAAAAATTCTCAACCAACGGAGTATTATGTTTAATGATAAAATACCAACAATATTTAATAGTAGAATCAGAATCAAGACACCGATGTCTGCTGTCAACACTGTTTTGGAAGTGTTAGGTGACTGAATTAGCTAAGAAGAATAAGAAGTTTCAGCATTAGAACATAAGCAAAATTCTCATCATTTTAGATATAATTTTGTAACAAAAATACAGTAACTTAAAACATGTTAGAATTGTGAGAATTCCTTAAGATGGCTTTTTTTCAGTAAGTGTATAAAATTAAATACATTCCCAAAGTAACATGAATATATACTGGGGCAAGGGTTAACCATTTAATGCACAAAGGGGGCTAAGAAGCAAGAGTAAAAGATCTGAAAAAATGAGTGATCTCATTCTCATCTTCTAGTCTGTAAGAGCATCCATGTCTCATTCTCCAGGATCTGGACCACAAAAGCACCTGACCATAGTACCAGTAGCTTAAAGTTAAAATTCTAAGACCATAGTTTTGTGCACATAGAAAGTAAAAAATTAAGGAAAATCACCAGGACCTCCTTTGAGCCTCAGGATGTTATTTTATTTATCTTTCTTTTCATTTTCTGAGACCCAGCCACTCAACTAATCTTTCCTCTGCCTCCTCCCTTAATCAATGTAGATTCCCTTACCAGCACATTTTTTAAAAGACAAAAATTTAAAAAAAATTCAGTGCATGTTTGATAAATGAATGAGTTACTAAGATCAGTCAAAACAGAAAAATGAACCATATACCCCAGTTAAATTTCTAAATGTTTCTTCTCATAGTGACACTATTACGTGCTGACTTGAGAACCTATTCATTACACACAGTATTCATAGGGTTTACATGATAAATGACAGCCTCCTTCCAAAGTTCTACTAGCAACCAGTACAGTTCTCTTAGCAACAGGTATCCTAAAGACCTTTAAGCTGTTGCATTTAACACCTGACAGGACAAATCAGTAGAAGTAGTGAGCAATGGGAGAATCCTTGTAGATGCTGTGTACTCAAGAGCAGGAACAGATGTCTCCTCCTTCCTTTTTCAATGGCTGGTGCTTTATTAAGTACATGGACCATCTTTTGACCAGAGCTTTACTGACAAGGATTTGGGTTTGTTCAAAGTCTTTTCTTTGAGAAAAATCTGATAGAAAGCCTTGTGCATGTAACTTTTTGCATATGTGTATAGTTTCTGAGCAAATTCTTAGTAGTAGGATTAGTAGCTCAAAGTGTAAATGTATGTCATTTTGGTAAACAATGGAAAGTTCCATTCCACAGGGGTTGCACCATTTTGCATTACCTCTAGCACCGTATCACCTGTTCTCACACCATATTTGTTTTCATACTTTTGGACATTTTTGCCAATATAACAGATAAGAAAAAATATCAATACAATTTTAACATTTTTTCTTATGGTTGGGAGTCATTTACATTTCTTCTGAAGCTAATTTTTTCTAATTCATTTTTCTAGAGTTGGCTATATCTTAGGGACGTATAAATTAAATTGACCTGCGAGAGTATCAAGTAGTCTAACCTAAGTGTAACTAGACTCTAAAAAGGGAAGGAGGGAAAGGGGAGGTAGAAAAAAACTGAAGAAATAATGGCCGAATCTTACCCAAATTTGATGAAAATTATAAACACACAGAACTGATCTCAACAAACCCAAAAAAGCATAAAAGAAATCATATATGTAATAAAAAATTTTTAAATTTAATAAAAAGAAAGTCTTTAAAAAAGGTGGATGAAGCAGATTATACAGTAAAGAATTAAAGCAAACATCAACAAAAACTGTACACAACACAACTTTAGAGTACTATGCTAACAAGTAAGTCAAATAAGAATTCTACATGCAGTAAAAATGCCAAAAATAAAAACAAAATACATTCATAGATAACAACTGAGAACAACCTCAGTATTTAAAAGATAAAAAGGTTAAATGAAATTCCTCAGTTAAAAAGAACAGTGCGTGTAGGGGGAGGGTAATATCTCATGGAAATTTAGAAACTTTCAAAGGGATGAAAAGTATCCAAAATGATAAATACAAGAATAAATATAAGATATTGTTTCTTATTTTTATAATCACTTAAACATAACCTTACATCTGTGCAACATAAGAATAAGAAATAAAAAGTAAAGAATAAAAAAACTAGTAAAACTTCTTTATTCAAAGATGGTATCTTATACATAGACTATATAAAGAAGAGTTTAGCAAGACAGCAAGTCACAACATCAACACAAAACTCAACAATATTTTTACATATTGGCTACCAAAAATTAAAAATTGAAATTCAGCCAAAATTAACAAAAAATATGCCATACCTTTAAATTAAAAACTATAAAATAGTTGGCGGTACACATCTGTAATCCCAGCTATTCTGGAGGTAGAGACAGGAAGATAACAGTTCAGGACAACATAGGCAAAAAGTTAGCAAAGAGACTATCTCAAAAATCAAGCAAGGCACAGTGGTGCACACCTGTAATCCCAGCTACTCTGGAGGAGGAGATAGATAAAAGTGTAGCAGTTTGAGGCCCACCCAGGCAAAAGTCTGTGAGACCTTATCTGATAAACAAACTAAGAGCAAAAAGACTAGGGCATGACTCTCAAGTGGTAGAACACTTGCCTAGCAAGCACAAGATACTGAGTTCAATTCCCAGTACTGCCAAAAAGAGAAGAGATTATAAAATATTACACGCAAAAGTTTAAAAGACCTAAATAAGCAGAAAAATATGTTGGTGAACCAAAAGACTCAATGTTGTCAAGATTAACAAACTGATTCTAAAATTTAAACAGAAATGAATAGGAACCAAAATAGTTCAAAAAGAACTTTTTAAAGAAGATCCAAGTGTGGTGGTGAACATCTAGAATCCCTGCTATTTAGGACCCTGAGACAGGAGGCTCACAAGGCCAGCCTGGACAATGTAACAGGACCCTGATTCTTAACATAAAGAATACAGGGGGGCAGGGTGGGTGGGTAAGAGGTATAGCTCAGAGGTAGGATGCTAGTCTAGTGTGCATGAAGCTTTGACTTCAATCCTCAGTCCCATGGAGTGGTAGTGGGGAAGATGGACAGGGATGGACAGACTTCAAGAATTCACACTACTTGTCTTTAATACTTCCTATGAAGTATTACGAAGCAGCCACAGAGATCCTCTGAATGTGCTACAGGCTAGAAACAGTCCTTCATGTGTCAGGTCAATTAATTTTCAATAAAGATGTCATGAAAATTCCACTGAAAAAGGATGGCCATTTCCCCAAGTGAGG